ATATTATGTATAACAGTTTTTTTTATAAAAATATTGTGTATAACTTGTTATTTTGTATAAGATTTTTTAAGTTTTATCTGTAGAAAATATGTAAAAATTACTATCACATTTCATTATATCCTTTTCAACTGTCAGCTTGACACTACCAACCCTCGTAATCTTCATAAGTGGTTGTTGACAAGGTAGATAATAAAAACTATAAAAGAGGGTAAAGAGGTGCAACATACTCCACTCCCTTACCACTAACACTAATACAATACTACTCAGTTACCAATTGGCAGTTAAAGTTGTATGTTGTTGTAGTTGTTTTTTTATATTGACCGCTGCCTGTTGCTACTGTTGGCGGTTAATTCTAATATGGACATTAAAACAAACGTATAAATTTTTCAAGCAATAAACGATTATTTAATTTTAAATAAAATTTTGCATAAATAAATGATTTTATGTGCAATCGTAGTGTGTGTGTGTATGTCTCAGTGTGTGCGTACATATAAATAATTAATATTATAGTCGTTGAGGAAAGCGTTAAAGCGAATGCAGTACGCGTCAGACCAAGACAATTCTTAAGAAGTGAAAATAAAATCACTAAATTGAAAAAACAAAAAACAAAATTATAAATGAATGAATTAAATGGTAAAAAGTCATAAAAATTGTTATCTTCTTGCATTTCCTGAATATGACGGACTGACTGGTTGGCGAACGTACATATACGAAAAAAAAGCTAAATTGAAAGAAAATGAATTAAAGGCAAGAAATAAAAAAAAAATACTTATTATAAATTTCTACATAAATATTGTCGTATACGACGAGTACATTGTACATGTGTGTAAGTTATTTTATAACTTGTAAAATTCACTTTAAACCTTTCAGTTGCATACGCTCGTGCAGACCTTCTTAACTTATTACCAATAGTTAGTAGCAGTTGTTGTTGCTGTTGATTGCATATTATTGGTCTTAAATATTTGATTATTAAAACACGTCCTCCTTACTCGGCTATTAACAAACATATTTACATACACATGGATAGTTTGAAGGCATAAATGCAACTTCAACTTCTTTTAGTTCTGCGTTTGCTAGACTACTCGCATGTAACAATTACAATTTATGCTATTTATGTTGGTTATAACGAGGGCGGAATGAAAATTGACTTTATTTGAACATTTAAGACTGGACTTGAAAATAATCAGTACAGCATAGAAAATAGAGTATAACAGTTTCTTCTATAGAAACATATTGTGTATAACAGTTTTTTCTCTAGAAAATATTTTGTATAACAGTTCTTTCTATTGAAACATAATGTGTATAACAGTTTTTTAATAAAAATATTGAGTATAAAAGATTTTTCTCCAGAAAATATTGTGTATAACAGTTTTTTGTTTAGAAAATAGTTTGTATAACAGTTTTTTTATAAAAAATACTAATTATAACAGTTTATTTCTTTAGAAAATATAGTGTATAAAAGTTTTTTATCTAGAAAATAGTTTGTATAACAGTTCTCTCGATAAAAAATTTTGTGTATAACAGTTTTTTTTTATAAAAAATACTAATTTTTATACTTCACAAAATATTGTGTATAACAGTTTTTTCGTCTACAAAATAGTTTGTATAACAGTTCTCTCGATAAAAAATTTGGTGTATAACAGTTTTTTTTATAAAAAATACTAATTAAAAAAAAAATACTTCTTTACAAAATATTGTGTTTTTTGTCTAGAAAATAGTTTGTATAACAGTTCTCTCATTCTCATTCTCTCTAATTATAACAGTTTACTTCTTCACAAAATATTGTGACTAAGAGCTTTTTGGGTAGAAAAATTTGTGTGTAACAGTTTTTCTCTATAACAGTTTTTTTATAAAAACGTTGTGTATAACAGTTTTTTCTCTTGAAAATATGGATTTTTTGAATTGAATTTTTGTATAGAAAATCTTGTTTATAACAGTATCCTTTTAAAGACTTCCTACTTATGTAAGTGTTTAAGTATAAATAATTGCATGTATATTGGTTTGTGATTACTGTGGTATTAGTATAAGTGTGTGTGTCAAATGTAATTGTAAGTTAATGTAATCGTATAGAAGCAATTTCGTAAATTTTTTTGTTGTCTCAAATTGGACACTCCATTCGTTGGGTGTTTATTATAATCTTATTTACATAATACATACATAATATACTACTATACATACACAAGCATATGCATAGAGATACACTTTCATACCAACAAAACAACAAAATTACATTATACATGCATTTCCATACATAAATGTCTTTTTATTTTGTTTGTACATAAATGGTTGTTGTATGATATGCACGTTAGCATGAATGAACGTGTGTCCGTATGTTGCAACATGCATTCACTTCTTTTTCCTATTGTTGTAATAATATTGTTCGTAAGATTAAGTATTATTATTATTATTGGTAAGGTCAGTTTGTTCAATGCTATGCACCAAGACGATATAGACATTGACCATGTTGTGTTGCAGCAACAACAACAACAAAAAATTGTCAACAAAATGACAAAAATACTACAAAAAACGTACTCATACTGAAAAGAAAAATTTCTAAACTAACAGCAACAAACAAAAAATAAAGTTAATGCACTTTGTGTTAGGGCAACTTTTGAACAGAGTTTTCTAAGCGGGGAAAATTTTAAATCAAAAAAGTGGTTAAAAGAAAGAAAAAACTTTAATTAAGAAAGCAATTCCAAATTTCACTATATAGCTTTATCTGTAATATTCATATTAATCGTTTTTATATGAATAATTTTAGTTCTCAAGATTCTAATTTTTGTTCGAGAATATTCCGAGAATTTGAATAATTTGTATAATAGTTTTTGTATAGAAAGAATCGAATCGAAACAACTGCAGAAAACAATTATTCTACTGAAAATATTTTTTATAACAGTTTTTTATAGAAATTATTGAAACTAGTTAAGTTTTTTCTATAATTAAATACTGTTTATAACCGTTTTTTCTAAATAAAATATTTTGTATAACAGTTTCTTCTATACTGTTTTTCTATAAAAAATATCATGTATAACAGTTCCTTCTATACAAACTATAAAAAACAGTTTATTTTAGTATTTATATAGGAAGTATTGTTTATAATAGTTTTTCTATAGAAAACATTGTTTATAACAGATTTTTTTTATATAAAAAAAAATTAAAATTTTTTTCACAGATTTTTCTACAAAAAATATTTTCGATTGCACTTTTTTTATAGAAAATCTGGTTTATAACACCTGTTTTACCTAAAAGACTTAGTATAACAGTTTTTTTTTTTTTTTTCTAAAGAAAATATTGTTTATAACACTTTCTTCTATGGGAAATTTTTTTATAACAGGTTTTTCTATAAAAATAACATTCGCTTTGTTATAAAAGTTTTTTCTTTAGAAAATATTTTGTATAACAGAAATATTTTCTATAGAAGTTTTTTCTACTGAAATATTTTGTATAACAGTTTTTTTCTATATAAATAATGTAATATACAAGTATTTCTTTAGAAAATAATATGCATAATAGTCTTTTCTATAGAATAGGTTTTGTATAACAGTGCTTTTAATATAAAAATCTCCTGTATAACAGTTGCTTTTAGAACAACTATTTAAAATCTATTAAATCTTCTATTCATCATTTCTACATAAAATACTTAGTATAACAGTTTTTTTTTACAGAAAATATTGTTTATAACAGTTTTTTGTTATGGGAAATAACTTTTATAACAGTTTGTTCTATAAAAAATAAATTTATTTAACTATCAGTTTTTCATATTTTTTTCTATAAAAATTTGTTTGTATAACAGTTTTTTTCTATAAAAGTTTTTTCTATAAAAAATATTTGTTATAACAGTTTATTTTTATATTATAACAGTTTTATAACAGTTTTTCTATAAAAATATTTTGTATAACAGTATATTTAGAGAGAATATTTTGTATAACTGTGTTTTAATATAAAAAATCTTTTGTATAACAGTTTTATTTTGATAGCAACTATTTGAAATCTATAAAATATTCTTTTCATTTGGGAAACTCTAATACTTAAGCGTTCATTCTTGCCAATCTTCTTGAACATATTGCCAAAGATATAATTACAGATATTGGTTAGCAGCCTGCTGCTTACTTACATACTTACTTACCATTCAAGTAGTAAGTATACATACATATATACATACATATATATTTATCTATCTCTAACACACTCGTAAATAAACTCCTATAGACAAATTACACAAACAAACAGAAAAAAAAGTTGAAAGATACTTCCGTTATTGTAACGTTAGATGTCATACCAACTAACAACATACATAGTAGAGAAGAATAGACCCGACGTTCTTATGATGTATCGATTTAAGCCCATAATGACCATACACTTAAGAAAATTCTAAAGGTATTTTACAAGGCTTCCAATATATGTATTTAATCCGTATTGGGTAAAAGTTTCAAAATTGATTTAGGAAATTTCATTTCAAAGACATATAATTATTTGTACAAATACAAATACAAGAACAAGTATAAGGTATCAGGTTGTTGTTCTAGGAATTATTTTATGTAGCAGTGTTAACAATTTAAGCCAAATGCTAAGAATTGTACCAGAAGGCTATAAGAAATATTTAAATTTTGTTAATTTAAAGAAAAGTTTTAAAATTGTATGTAAATTTTGAGATTTTTTTTAAAACTAATAAAAATTCGAATAATCAAATGAAACCTTTAAAACCTAAACTAACAAGTTTATTATTATAGCTTTTTAATATCAATAAATTAGCTATAAAAACAAAACAAAATTGAAACTTATCATTATCATTCGATCTATGTTGGTTTAGAAAATTCAACTTACTAATTAAAAATTTCAAAAAAGTATCAGCGATAATATCTGTCACTTGCAACGCCAAAGGAGTATAAGAAGCAACAGCAACTCATTTCATATTCTAAGACATTCATTCATTAATATATTTAAAAAAAAATATTGAATTTCCTTTTTGTAAAGTGTTTACTTTTATTTATTCATTTCAGATACTTAATTAAAACGCATTAAAAAGTGATTCTCCTCAAACAAATCCAAACATACAAACGAACGCAGTAACGCAAATATTCACAAAATACACATGATTCCCACATTAGTAAACGGACGAAATTTAATATTCCAACGAATGTTCACAGTAGAAACTGTCATTCCATACAACTGCTAAAAAGAACAAACAACTAAATACGAAAACTATAAACGATAAAGCAAAAAGAACAGAATACCTACTTCCTGCCTCGTATACATAAAAATGCCTAAAACGAATCCCAGCAGCAGTAGCAGCAGATATACGATCGTCAATGTTATCCTCAGTTATTTAATTATATGCCGAACATGTACGACATGTCTACCCTCCGCCAAAGATTCCTCTTTACTTTTAAACGATTCCGAAGAAGATGTCTTTAGTAAATTCGATGACATTAGCGATGAAATGGAAGAGCTAATGACACCCAAAGCGGATAATAACAAATATTCAAGTTGGCCCAACCGGAAGGATATGGATAGCTCCTATCAAGATAATGCAGATGTATTTAACGCGGGCAAACTGCCGGTAGGTGCTACATATCACGATGAATCTCTAAATATGGGACATTCGAGTGAATCGCTGGTGCCGCTGCAAGGTGTTAATGCCAATAAGACAGTGCTAATTGGAGCAGCTGGCACTTTAGATGAATTCGTGACGGGTAAACTGGGTGCTTCAGAAACCGGTGTTACACTGCCTTACTTTCTAACTGAACCAGAAAGTGTTTATGTGGTGAAGAATAGACCGGCCGTATTAAAGTGTAAAGCCGCTCATGCGTTGCAGGTAAATGTCATAATGCATATTATTTGTTTTGTTTATAGTTTCTGGGTTTGTTTTTGGTATTTGACAGGAAGTTGTTTTATTTACTATTTCTATTCTCCGTCTTTCTTTTCTATTACGCAGCTGCATTTTAAATGTAGTGGCAGTTCACAGCCCCCACCCTCAACACACGACAAGCACGTGGATCCTCACACAGGGGTGCATTTGGAGGAAGTTACGGCCACCATACACCGTGATCTTGTGGATGAATATTTTGGCAAGGGTCCCTTTAAATGTGAATGTCATGCCTGGTCTTCAAGGGGTGTTGTAAAAAGTCAAGCGGCCACAGTTAATATTGCATGTAAGTTTAAATTTGACAATAAGTATAAAGCACGTACATACATACGTCAACGTAACGTAACTTGTAGCACTCTCTAGTAATTAGGAAATGTGTTAATGGGGAAATGAGTGCGTGTGTCTGTTCGTTCGTTTGTATGATTATAGTATTAAATTACAAATTGTTTTTAATTAAAATACGTTTTTTTATTTATTTATTTCTTTGCTAGATATGCGCAAACAGTTTGTTACTTCGCCCACCTCGTTGAGAGTCGAGCTTGGCACTCGTGCTGAATTGTATTGTGAGCCACCCAGTGGTTTTCCTGAACCCGGTGTTAGTTGGCAAAAGAATAATTTGCCTATAACGGAGAGTAATGAACATGGTCCTACCGTGTCGCCAACGGGTACTTTGACATTTCGTCAAGTTACTTTGCAGGTAAGAAGAGTGTTAATAATGAAAAAAATTTTACGATTTTGTCTTTTTAAATCAGGCATTACTTAGTAATCAATATTAGCTCTGCTACTAATTCATCAATTTCTTATTATATTTTCTTTATTTCTAGGACATGGCTAATTATACTTGTGTAGCTGAAAATATAGCGGGTAAACGTAATTCAGACTCGGCGGTACTTATAGTTTATGGTAAGTCTTATTTTCTAGCTAGTGTTAATTTTATCTAAAATATTCAAAATCATAATTGCTAAAAAAATTTATGTTCTTGAAATTATAATTTTTGTTCGCGAATATTCTTAGAACTTATTTTATTTTAAGGATCTAAAATTTAAATACAATTATTAAATCTTAACAAGTGTTATCTAAAATATTCAAAATAATAATTGTTAAACAAAAAAACTAAAGTTTCTAATAATATAATTTTTGTTCTCGAATATTCCGAGAATTGGTTTGCTTTTAATGTTCAAAAATTTCAATACAATTGCTGAGTCTTATAAAGCATACCTTTCGATTTATGTTGCGATTAGACAAATTTAAATCAAAATGTGAATTATATTTAACTGATCTGAAGAATCGGCCCATTAAGAAAAATCGATAATCCAAATCTCACTTTTTAGCTAATGAGAAATACTGACAAAACACTAATTTTTACAAGAAAAATATAAAATTATAATCTATATTCGCGAATATTCCGAGAATTTGTTTTCTTTAAATTCACTAAAATTTTAATACAATTACAAAGACCTTTTTATATTTATTGCTAAATCGTGTGTTTAATCAAATTTTAATCAAAATGTTGATTATGTTTATAATTTTTGGTTCGCGAATATTTCTAGATTTTGGTTTCTTTTAAAGCACATCAAATTTAATACAATTATAGAGATTTATATCTTACGATATTTGTTAACATATCTGTTAAATCCTAATATTCTTTTTTTTAATTTTAGCTTTTGATATTTATTGCTAAATCGTGTATTTAATCAAACTGAATTCTAAATATTGTTTATGTTTATAATTTTTGGTTCGCGAATATTCCGAGATTTTGGATTTTTTTAATGCATTATAAATTTAATAAAATTATAGAGATTTGTAGCTTTCGATATTTGTTATCATATTGATTATAAATCTCTGAGCTGAAGAAGCAAAATTTTATTCGCGAATATTCCAAGAATTTTTTTTCTTGTTAGTAAATTGTTCGATTAAAGGCTTTCAAATAGAAATATTATTATTTTAATTGTTAAGATATTAATTTAACATTATTTATGTTTAATTCTTTTTTAACTCTTCTTAATCATTTAGTTAATGGCGGTTGGAGTTCCTGGTCTTCGTGGCGTGATTGCAAATGTCCGGGTAAAATGGCTCAGGGTCGTAAGCGTACACGCATGTGCAATAATCCTATACCCATGAATGGTGGTGCCGAATGTTCTGGGCCACAAATACAAAAATCAGCCGATTGTTTACCCTGTCCGGATGAAACACAAATTGTCAATACGGAGGGTTTCGATGTGCCAGCCGTTAAGAGATGTAAGTGATGCAATCAATTAAAGTATAAATTTAAGTCTAAATCAGATTAAATCAAAATGCATAAGTGTTCAGAATCAGTTCAGCCCAAGGTTTTTGATAAGACTTTTCAAATTTGTGGAGTATTTAAAGGGATTTTATGAATCTGTTTAAAAATTTTCTGAAACCATAATTGAAACTTCATTGATACGTGGCAAACTGTAAGAAAGACCCTCATAGATACGTTTATTCTTTAGACAATATCTGTAGGACCATAAAAATGTTATTTCTATTCAGCAGAATATTAAAAAAGTTTTTCTTTTCCAGTTCAATAGTTTTAAACTTCAAAGTGTTATAAAATCAATTCGATTATGATTTCTTTCAAAAGAAGAACGAATACATATCCTTAATTGTTACAGACACATTAAAACACATAAAAATTCTGCTAAAAAGAAACTTATTTTTTTATCTATTAAATTGTTCAATGAAATACATATTGTATGTCTTTAATGTGGATTCATTCTTCTTAATCTTTTTGTTTATTTTTGATTCTTGGAACCATCATAAACTTTCAACCCTCAGTTTTGCATTAGATTGCATCATTTCTTAAGCATATCGCAGAAGAAAAAAAACAATGAGGGAACAGAAAAAAAGGAAAATACAGCAAATAAAATATAAAAAATCTATTAAATATTATACTTCCCTTAGTCATCATCTTTTATGCTCTACAAACATACTAAAATTTGAAAATCAATGGCATTGTGTATCGTTTTCAGCAGTTAAGCTTTAAATTGATAGGCAAATAATTACTAAGCAGTGATATTGGCAAACAGACACACACACACACAGACTCACAATTGCTTCAGTCATTCATTCTTTCATTGATACCAAATACATACACATACACAGCTCTCAACTTAGTCAACCATAATGGTTGTGCACTTAAACCAGAAAAAGAGAATAATAGTTAGTTAATACAACGAAAATAATAGAAACTATCTATTTCTTGTTGTTTTTATTCAATTTTATCCTCTTCAGTTACTTATTCTTAATCTAACCTTCTGCACTTTCTCTCTTCCCCCAACTCCCTGTTCTGTTCGATTCATTTCACTGTCTGTCACTATGCCAAACAAAAGAAAACAAATCGAGCATTTCTTCTTTCTTTCTTGAATTTTGGATTCGCAAAAAAACTAATTTATGGATTCAACTAAGTTATAGAACTATTTGTTAAGTTGTGTAGTGTATTTCCGTTTATATTCCCCTCCCCCCAACTAGCAACTTCCTCTTAACAGCCATCCCCCTCCCCTTTACACTTAAACTTACAGCACTACCACGTCTACGACTGTCATGACAAACTGCTTGTCGGCTGCCCCCTCTCCCAAAAAATCTTCCTTCAAACCCAAATCAAAAATCACAAAATGTACAACAACTGTAAACGGGGGAAAAAATCACAGAAATTGCTCATTTTGAAGACATAAAACAGTGTTAGCGACAACGTATTCCCGCTCCTAGTCTCATCGTACAAAAACATTGAACATTGTCATTTACTCCTCATCACACACTTGCTTGGGATGAGAGCGATGTTTTCTTAGTCTTCCTTCCTTCTAGAGTTCTGTTTTTTCTCACTCCAGTTTCAATACCCCAAAGTTGTGCTATAATTTCACTCTAGTTTCAATCGTTACCACTTTATTTTAGTCCATCATTCAAAAACAGTCAAAGCAAAAAAACATGTTCTGCTGAACTCTGTAAATGACGTCATATAATTCACCAACCATCACAACCATCTAGTGAACCATCGACAGCGAACAGAAACTTGCAAATAGTTTAACAACAACAAAATAACATCACAGTCATTCTCATAAAAAGGGAACGTTTTATGTATTTTTTTGCAAAACCAAGGAATGTATTCGTTTCTGAGAAGAATTTCTTAATTGACTGTAATTATTCTTCATGCTAATTCACTTAAATGATGTTTTGTGATTTAGAAATTAAAGGAGTTGAACGACTTAAAAGTACGCTGCGATCAAAGAAATGTATTTCCGTTCACACTACATTTGGATACACAGAGCAAACAGATTTGCAACAATTAAATAAAGTACAGAACTTGTTTATTTCTAGTTCAGTTATAGTTCAGATATAGTTCAGTTCAGTTCTAGTTCAGTTCTAGTTCAGTTCTAGTTCAGTTCTAGTTCAGTTCTAGTTCAGTTCTAGTTCAGTTCTAGTTCAGTTCTAGTTCAGTTCTAGTTCAGTTCTAGTTCAGTTCTAGTTCAGTTCTAGTTCAGTTCTAGTTCAGTTCTAGTTCAGTTCTAGTTCAGTTCTAGTTCAGTTCTAGTTCAGTTCTAGTTCAGTTCTAGTTCAGTTCTAGTTCAGTTCTAGTTCAGTTCTAGTTCAGTTCTAGTTCAGTTCTAGTTCAGTTCTAGTTCAGTTGTTCGTTCTAGTTCAGTTCTAGTTCAGTTCTAGTTCAGTTCTAGTTAAGTTCTAGTTCAGTTCTAGTTCAGTTCTAGTTCAGTTCTAGTTCAGTTCTAGTTCAGTTCTAGTTCAGTTCTAGTTCAGTTCTAGTTCAGTTCTAGTTCAGTTCTAGTTCAGTTCTAGTTCAGTTCTAGTTCAGTTCTAGTTCAGTTCTAGTTCAGTTCTAGTTCAGTTCTAGTTAGTTCTAGTTCAGTTCTAGTTCAGTTCTAGTTCAGTTCTAGTTCAGTTCTAGTTCAGTTCTAGTTCAGTTCTAGTTCAGTTCTAGTTCAGTTCTAGTTCAGTTCTAGTTCAGTTCTAGTTCAGTTCTAGTTCAGTTCTAGTTCAGTTCTAGTTCAGTTCTAGTTCAGTTCTAGTTCAGTTCTAGTTCAGTTCTAGTTCAGTTCTAGTTCAGTTCTAGTTCAGTTCTAGTTCAGTTCTAGTTCAGTTCTAGTTCAGTTCTAGTTCAGTTCTAGTCAGTTTAGTTCAGTTCTAGTTCAGTTCTAGTTCAGTTCTAGTTCAGTTCTAGTTCAGTTCTAGTTCAGTTCTAGTTCAGTTCTAGTTCAGTTCTAGTTCAGTTCTAGTTCAGTTCTAGTTCAGTTCTAGTTCAGTTCTAGTTCAGTTCTAGTTCAGTTCTAGTTCAGTTCTAGTTCAGTTCTAGTTCAGTTCTAGTTCAGTTCTAGTTCAGTTCTAGTTCAGTTCTAGTTCAGTTCTAGTTCAGTTCTAGTTCAGTTCTAGTTCAGTTCTAGTTCAGTTCTAGTTCAGTTCTAGTTCAGTTCTAGTTCAGTTCTAGTTCAGTTCTAGTTCAGTTCTAGTTCAGTTCTAGTTCAGTTCTAGTTCAGTTCTAGTTCAGTTCTAGTTCAGTTCTAGTTCAGTTCTAGTTCAGTTCTAGTTCAGTTCTAGTTCAGTTCTAGTTCAGTTCTAGTTCAGTTCTAGTTCAGTTCTAGTTCAGTTCTAGTTCAGTTCTAGTTCAGTTCTAGTTCAGTTCTAGTTCAGTTCTAGTTCAGTTCTAGTTCAGTTCTAGTTCAGTTCTAGTTCAGTTCTAGTTCAGTTCTAGTTCAGTTCTAGTTCAGTTCAGTTCAGTTCTAGTTCAGTTCTAGTTCAGTTCTAGTTCAGTTCTAGTTCAGTTCTAGTTCAGTTCTATTTCAGTTCTATTTCAGTTCTAGTTCAGTTCTAGTTCAGTTCTAGTTCAGTTCTAGTTCAGTTCTAGTTCAGTTCTAGTTCAGTTCTAGTTCAGTTCTAGTTCAGTTCTAGTTCAGTTCTAGTTCAGTTCTAGTTCAGTACTAGTTCAGTTCTAGTTCAAATCAAGTTCAATTTTAGTTGTAGTTCCCCCGGACTACTTTGTCAGACCGGAGGTCGTTTCATAAAAATTTAGAATTTAAGAAACCATAGGTTTAAATCTCACACCCTTAGAAATATTTCGAGCAACGTCAGCAACAAACTAACAAAAAGAGTAAAAATACACACAAACAGATCAAATTCATACATTTCAACACTATTAATGAAATGGTACTAGCCAAACGTTAAAGTGAAAGCAATAACCATTGGCAAACACATAAAGGAATCTTCATTACAGGAACATAAACATACTGACAGACAAAGGAAAAAACAGACAGACGCACAAATAGACAGAAAGTCTGACCGACATTTGTTATAGTTAAAATAATAGCAACAGTAAAGTTAAGGCATCACATCACCATCGTCATCATCATCAGCAGCAGCATCTTCAAAGCCCGCATGTAACTAAAGCTGCATGAGAATGTTAAAGTGGAAATAACCATCCATGATGTAGTTAAAAACACATCCAATTTCAGAAAGACACACGCACAAATAATTTCAATCTAAACAACAACACAATCATCCTAACGTCATGTGTGTGTGTTTGTTGTGTAGGGGTGGTTTTATAATGTCAATATAAGAATGTATATTTTGTATTAAAGATAGATATTGCGTTGCTATTAAAAACGCACACAATACATCACTGACAACAACAACAACAATGACAATAATAATACCGAAAACAAATACAATAAAAACAACACAAACATTATGTTCCAGATAAAAAAAATGAAAATAAATTGTACAACAACTCGTACATGCTAACATTTTATTAAGGACGTTATAATTAATTTCTAATAAAAATTCTTAGATTTCTGGGAATATTTTTTTCTTCCTCTATCTTTTCGTTTATTATTTTGGGTCTTTAGCGGCGGCTTAATTAAAAAGTAAATCTAAATTTTTATTAAACAACAAACAAATTTTTGTTATATTCTGGGAATTATCCGCTATTAATGGAAAAATTTGTGAGAATTATAAGAAATTGATTCATGTTACATTAATAAAATTACAGCAGTTTAAGGTTGTTGCGAAGTTTTACCCCAAAGAGTAAAACAATTTTCTTAGTTTTACTTTAAAAGGATTTGGGAAATTTGTTTGTGAGATTTTATATTAAAAAGATGCTGGGGATTAAGTTAGTTGTTGTTATGTTAATGTATGATTATTAAAGGTATTAAAGGATTTATATATCTATAGTTAGTAAGTTTGAAAGTTGAATTGACGTTACGTCAAATCCGAAAAAT